TATATAACTTTATAATTAGGTAATTAGAGTTAAAAAGAACAATGCTACACGTATTTACCAAGTTCATTTTAAAAGCATACACAGAATGATATTTAATGCCAAACAACTCTTAGGTAATTCAATACTCTGCACCCTGAATATTTAAATTCAAACGATAAACCAAAACTGAAAAGGGCTATCATTCACAAGTAATTTTAAACAATGCAACATTGCCATTCAATATAAATTAGTGCCTCCTTTGCAGGTTGGTGCTTATCTGCATTGTGATAATTACAATGTAATTCCAGACCTCTCAGAAACATTTGCCTGGCGTAGTTACAAACACAGCCTCTAATATAATATCATCCTACACATACAAAATCACAGTTGTGCAAAATAAATTGCTCAAAACTTTGCCTCCTATGCTGCAGTGTGGGTTACCTCCACCTCTAGTTAACGCACATAACATGGAAAGCAAACTTGAGAATTTCTGCTAAGAATTTACCAAGCGTGTGCATGCGCAATAAAGGCAATGCTCAACCCGAAAAAAATTACGTACTCGCTACAGTACTTTCCCTGGGCGGCCAACGGAGAAAGCAAGATGCTTAACACAAAATGTGCAAGCTAACACACGTCACATCTAACGGAATTGAAATACCAGAACACACACACGGCAAGCTTATGTACATTTTCACACAGTCACAAACACACGCACAGATATAATTATTCCGCTAGCACACCTCATCACACCATCTCTGCCTAGAGTCTGTTCCAGCTACATGTACCACCTCTCAAAATAAAGAATTTAGGGAGGGTGGAGGGGTGAACAAACTCAAAATTTCCTTACAAGTATAGTATACATGAAAGTAAATTCACGTTCAGCACGGTGAAGAGATGTTAAAGGCATACTAGGCCCATTTATTATGCAATGTTGACAAATGCTAGAGTAACTGGCACCTTGTGTAGTTAACAAGTACATAACCTTATAGCCAAACACGTATTAGTTTGTCCAATATCACTGCTGGTTACATTACAAGCAAGACTTGAAATCGGTTGTTGATATTCACTTACGTGCCGTAAATGTAATGCAGGAGTCAAGCGATGACGTAAACATTTGTGCGGCCCGTATGTTTTGGACGCCAGATGAAATGGAGGTGTCAGCGGTGTAACCACGGCCACGGACTAAACATGGAACTGGAGTAAAACACACGTACTAATCACGGACGCACATGGACAGCCCTGACAAAAAAGTCCTTATCACGAGCGTCCGTGTTTTACGAAATCACTGATGATAGCATTGCCTACGCCGAGCATGCGTGCGAAAATGTCCGGTGCACTATAAATCTGTATCACACCCGCTTCGCCGGCAGCGGTTTGAAACTGTAAACAACTGATTTCTTGGACTGCAGATTTCAATTAGACATTTCTTAGTAACCAGCAGTGATATTGGACAAACTAATATGCGTTTCGATGTAAGGTTATATACTTATTAACTACACAAGGTGCCAGTTACTCTAGCATTCGTCAACATTGCATAATCAATGGGCCTAGTATGTCTTTAAACTAGCTTGCAATGTTTCTCTAACTCTGAGGGTCTACAATTTCGTTACGTGATGCGATTTAGTGTGCGTGCGTGAATGCACGAGTTTGTGTGCGTGCTGTAGGTGTCGTAGGTGCGTGTGTAGTTCTATTTCTGCTATCAACAGTCAAGTCACATTGCCGGCAGGT